GCATCCACTACACAAACACACACACACTGCATTTACTAATCAAATACTCTCACTGCATCCACTACACACACATATAAATATTCTTGAAAACATAAAAAAAAATCTGACTGGCATGTATATTTTGTGCATTTACCACTTAATAAAAAAAAATTAGCAAACAAAAATAATACGGTAAATGTACAGAATATCGGTAAGCTATCGGCTGTCGGCCTGAAAGTTCACAGATTATCGGTATCGGCTCTAAATAAATCAATATCAGTCGATCCATACTGCAGAGGATACTGAAATTGTGATTGTTTGCCAAACTCGGTTCAGTTGGGATGTATGGTTTCTGAGACCGAGGTTGAATAATCAGCATTCTCAAGTATTACGATCACCTCGGTAACACAGGGTCTTACCCCTGATACCTTGGTCGGCCGACCACCTTCATCTGGACAGTGAAACGATTTGTGGCAATCTGTTCAGACAGCTAGCTGCAGACATTAATAGCACGGAGAGACCGAGTTCTGGTGCAATTAAAGAGTTCTGTTTATTAAGCAAAAAGTCAGGGTTTTTAGAGGACATTTTATTCAATGTTTTCCAACGAGTGATAAACTAACTAAATATTTTCATTGGCTAGCTGTCTTTCCCAGCTCGATGACGTAGAGAGGGCGTTGGTGGACTTGCTGTGTTATATGAAGATCATTTGTTTTAAAACATCTTTACTTTGTCATTCACTTCAAACGTATACACTTCCCAGCACACCTTATTATATACTGATATAATATGTATTAGTTAGTTATTATCAACTTAATAATACGTATTCTGAGGGTTCTTTACTAATATACGTGTACGTGACTAAAAACGAGATTATTAAGCGTTTGTGGAGGTTAGCAGCTAAGCAGATTTAAATCTCGAAGACAAGATACCGAGTAAAAACATCCTTATCTCTCATTACGGCCATGGGAAAGCTGTGGATTTTCGTCTCTGACATTCTAGAGGTTAAGACTGTAGTTTAGTAAATCACTACTGAACTATATTAAGAAATGGTGAGAGACATAGGGATATTTCTAAAGCCACAATCTGCGCAAGGAACGTGAGAGGGATACGGTGCTTGGAGTATATGTATAACCATCAAAGAATGTTCTTTAAAAAAAACTGATCTTTAAGTACGTTTGTGAAAAATGAAATAGCAGTTCCACTGTACACCACCAGGGGCAGAACTGTAATGTGAGTTACTTCAAAATGTGTCTTATAGGTGATTTAATTTAGGAGCAATTAATGCCTACAGCATACTAATTTAACATTGATATACTCATATAATGCCTTGGATATCGCTCTCAGAATAAATGACAAAATTATTTGCACCAAGACTAAAGAAGATTTTTACATGGTCTTAAAACCACAGCCTGGGATCTGTGTTAACAAGAAACCAGTTCTCTACATAATATATTGTCTACAAACTATCTCCCACACCCTTACGTATTGCATTCAGAAGCCAAATATTGCTGTGCCAGAGGGGATTTAAGTATATTTACTTTCTTACATATTACCCAGATCTGCAGTTTATCACATGCCGGACACATCACATTGAGGCCGGTTTATAAGATAACATTTCTTGTCAATGTTTGTTTGTAGATGGATCTTGTTAGAGGTGTTTGACACGAATCCCAAAGCAGAAATGAATTATTATTTCCTATGTGTGAGAAGCAGGGAATTCAAAGTGCCCGAATTATGTAATCAAATTCCAGAAGCTGCTTAAGGAGATATCTGCCCAACTATAGTCAGCTAAAACATAGGGATTGGGCTATTAATACAACAATACATGTTTTACCTTTTATTTAGATTTACATCTTATGGACGGCCCATTGGGCACAACCTGGCATACAATGTAAAGGTCTTGTATCCCATGATTCCATGCTTACAATTCTCTGAACCTCGTGCAAATGATCAAGGTAGCAATGTCTAGCCCCCACGCACGCACAGAATTATGGGAAGGGTGAGGTGTTAGAATCCTCCAGCACTGCAGAGGTAAGTTTATTCCATCCTTGGCTCTCCGCACGTCTCATAGAAATCAAAGAAATGGAATCTGACAAGATGGTAGTTCCTCTTCAAAGGGATATCATCGCCATAAAATAATCCAGGTATCCGATAGCATGACTCAGAGGGAATGATAGAGATTTGTTCGTATGACACCAGGTTAATGATAATTATTTGTAAAAAAAAAAAAAAAATTCCCTTTTCTACGATGCTTCACTTTAGGTAAGAAAAAGTGTGATTGTAAATTTAAATTTCAATAATTGCATCAGATCCCTCGGATGTTGATTAAAAGAAACACACACTCAAAATAAAGTTGTAACAGTCATGTGATATCAGCAGTCAATCAGAGTCTGTGATTTCCAGATTAGCTTCCGGATTATTACTTTGCTGGTAACAAGATCTTGTATTTTGAATTCTCTTATGTACAATACCCAACAAGCCCTTTATTTTTATTATGTAAACAAAACTGAAAAGCTGTAAATGTTTGTTTGAGAGACATACTGCGCATGCACAGATATCCCTGTGATGCTACAATCTGATGTTTCTGTATTACAAGCACACCTAGCGTCTGCTATCAGCAAATTAGTGCTGGCACAGGGACGTAAAATAGATTTAATTACTGAATCAGTCCAGAGCCGGTGGTGGCAGCCTTGAGAGGTGTGGAGATTACAAAGTATAAACAGTGCCGTTTCTCAGAATAGGCAGCAATTTTAACGGCCACAAAGCAGGGACAGATTATTAAAATGAAGTGATTTTGGTGCTTAGACTGTCCCTTAAATAATAATAATTCTGTTGTTTTATTTTAAGAAAGCAAAAGGAATAATTTAATCATGAAAGGAGAAACCTGCACTTAATGCAGACATTTGTCTGCTGGTTATTACGCTATACTTGCTGCAATTTACAGTAATTTGCTCTCAGATTTGGGATTATTCTTTGGCAGTTGAGGTAAAAAAACAAAAGTCAAGTGGAGAGTCAACAATGTAAAATAAAACTACTTTATACTGAATTTAATATGAATTAATTTTTAGTATCATTGTGTGAATTTGTTGGTAATTTAGTTCACAATGTCTGGCTGCATGGCGTCCATTTTGAACAGTTTCTAACAAACTGCCGACCATGATTAAATCAGCAGAAACAGCGACTAAACTAGCTCCTCCGACAATACCGGCCAACCTTGTCCTAGCATCCACCGAAATGAACCGAACAAAACATCAGCCTTAAAAGGTCCAGTGAGAACATCAGTCTGACGCACGGGTAGGCAACCTTCGGCACTCCAGATGTTGTGGACTACATCCTCCATACTGCTGTTACACCGATAATGCTGGCAAAGCATCATGGGAAGTGTAGTCCAAAAACATCTGGAGTGCCGAAGGTTGCCTATGCCTGCCTCTAACGTCTGGTCATAGAAACATCTACGACATATTATGGAAGATCAGGTTAACAAACAATAAATTGCTAGACTGTTTCTTGTTATATAGTGCTGTTTCATTCTGACTATAACCCCACACGCACTCCACCGACCAGATTTAAATATTCATTTAAATTTTTTATTATTATTGTTGGTGTTTTTTCTAATTTCCACCAAAACTACCAAAAATATTTAACATTTGTGATTTGGTCAAGTCTCTGGAAAATGAATAAACATAAAACATGGCGGCATAGCTACCGTCTAAGCTACCTCCGGCACTCCAGATGTGGGGACTACATTTCCCTTGATGCTTTGGTCTGAGGGCTGGCATCCATAGGTCTCGCAATGTGAGCGTGAAACAGATTTATCATAATATCAACGTATCACTACAATATAACACAAACACGTTTCATTAATCTGAGCGTTAAAAATCCGTTAACAATTCCTGGAGTTAATTTGTTAAAAATGGCAATGAACTGGAGGAAGGCGGTTGGGTGATTATAATCTGCGCCGTACTGTATAGCGCACAGTCTATAGTAAATACCATGCCACAGATTAAGACGTGGATGGCATTATGTCACAGAATGATTGTTAATGATCAAATCTCATAAAATGCAGGATAACGTGGTTATTAACATATATTAAACGTGCCACAAAGTCAAACCGACCATCCCGAGCAAACACTGGCTCAGTGTATAATCTGGCATTAGTAATAATCTTGAATTACATTCAATTTTGTAGAGTCTGCTGCGAAGTTTTGTCCCCTGTGTTTTGGAAGATCACAGGCCATTAACCCATTGTGGACAATCACACAGAGGTTAAGTGAGGTGTATCAGTGGGTGCCCCACAAATGTGAGTGGTGGCCCAGTCACCATGCCAAGGGCAAGTGCCTTTAGACTGAATGGGCCATCACAGCCTGGAGTCAGCGTATCAGCTGGACCACATCTGTGTTAACCCTTTCTCCACCAGGACAGAATGTCTCTGGAGAAGATTCACTAAACTGTAAATTGTCCGGAATTCAGCAGGAAATGTCAGATTCTCTCTCCAGCATCAGAGAGGCAATCATTCACAATCTACACCCAAAGAGGTTCTGCAGCTGATACATTTCTTTAACTGTGGGCATCTCATAACAGGACTGTTAACCCCTGGCTTCCTGAACACTAACCAGAGAGGCTGCTGGAGGACAGATATCTGAACTGGTAACCCCGATTAACCCTGTGATTGCCAGAGTGGCAAGCTTACTTCAACCATCTTACATTTAACTCTTTCATTGCCCCTCTTACAGTTAACTCTTTCATTTCTGGGTTTGCCTTTTTCTTTCACTCTCTTCCTATTTATTTAACCCTGTAACTCCCACAGCATGCACAGAACTCATTCCCTCTGGCACTAGAGGGGGGTACCCCACTTTCTGACAAGGTGCCAGCCCCTCACCCCTCTATCCTGGCAGGGGGTTTATACCCTGTATGTACAAAGAATGTTTGGGTTTTTTTCTTGTAACAGGCATGGAAGTCCCTCCTCTCCAAGCAATGATTGCTGAGCTCCTCCTAGAGACAGACTCACTGCTGGCTCCAACCCTGACTCTCTCTGATTCTCTCCCAGTACCTGCCCAGAGCCAGCCAGCAATGAGTGCAGCCAGCTCAGGACTCAGCTCAGAGGGGAGGCAGCCCTGCACCTGAAAAGTGAGTAAGGGACACTAATGCCTTCATTTAACCCTTTCACTGCCAGATCCACTGGAAATATTACACTTTATATGTAAGGAATATTTCCTGGGCACTTCTATCTATACACTGATTCCCATACATGTGATATTATATTTTAGAATATTTTAGTCTATATCTTTTTCATAGAGTATAATCATTTTTCTTGCACTGTAAATCCAATAATCTCAGAATTCTCTGCAATGTATACATCAACATGTTGCTTTTTGTTTGTTTAGTATTTGTCTTGGGGTGGGGAGGAAAAGTGGCAGAAATTGCAAACCCCCCTGTTTTGCCAACTTCTACTTGGGGAGTCTTTAGATTTTTAATTTACAGAAACTCTGAACCTTCCATTTAATGAAGGATTTATTTTCATTAAAATGTAAGCTATTTGCAGAGACCTGTTGCTGCAGGATTTTGAGAAGTTTGTTGAAGCAGATGAGGGGTTAATGTTACATTGCTATTTAATGTTCAGTCCCACAGATGTCAGAACTCTGTGTGGTTGCTATGCAATTTGTGTTAGAATGTCTACACATTATATGATGTGAGTGTGTGTGTGTCACTTTCTGTTGCAGCTGTGGGTACAGTTTATTCTATGGTTGCATTTAGAATTATTTATAAAACAAAGTATGTATTCCTTTTCATAAATGAACTTTGAGTTGGGCTATTGCCATTTTGTTTATTGTTTTAACTCATTTAGAGAAGATACAAAGTGATTAATAACAACACCCCTGTAACAGATATAATGACAGCAAACCCTGAAATGGAACATTTTATAAAGTGATCACAAAATGAAACCTTTCCATTAAAAACAACCAACAGATCAGCAAAAACCAATGTGTTACATTTAAACTGTAATTAATACATAAAAGTTTTATCTTTCTGTAGATACATTATAATACAGTTATTACAGCACTGCATGTGCAAGGGTTAATCTGTATTATTATCTATTCTAGAAGATCTATCTCTGATGCTTCCTGTTCTCTGTGGATTCCAAAATGTGTTTGTAATCTTAAAAAAAAAAAAAAAAAAAATCAAAAAAGAATAAATCAGGGCTGTTCGTTGTAATTTGGGGACACTAGGGAGATTAACTCCAGCCTCTGGCAGTCAATGGGTTAAATTAACCCATGCTAGCACTATGGCGGCTCCCTGACTGCTTCACTGGCACTTGTTATCCTCATATCTTGTGACATGTTCGAATTCCCCTCTGCAAGGCCAAAATTCAGGGATTTATTTACTAAACAGTTGGATTTTTGTGAAGTGAATTGAGAAACATGGGACCAATTAAAGAGTTAATGCTGAAAAAATATTTTCCAAATCCGAAGATGAATTTAGTTATTTTAGTCTAAATCGTGTAAATTCAGCTTTTAATTAAACCTGCCATCACTGTTTATTAAATGTACCCCAAAACCACACATTCCTAGTTTGCCACCAAAATCTAGCAATATGTTTCATTACACACACATCCCTGCTGGCGTCCATCGACTTCTCATGACATTCCAGATTCATTTGCATTTTGTTGGTTACTTTTCATAAATTACATGCTGAATCTGACCCCCATCAGATCTTGTGTTGGGCTAAATGTTCCATTTAATGGATTTTTTTCCCATTCATTTAATGAGATTTCAGGGTGGTGAATGTGAATGTAAAATACAAGGATTGCAAGTTTTAAAAAATAAATAAAAATATAAATATTTATATATCTTGCAGTAGTGTAATAAGCTACATTTAACCCCTTGATGACAGGCAATGCATCAGTCATCATACAAATTGTTGTGTTCAAATTCTTGTCCAAAAAGGGTTAATATACATGTATGCGGCCTGATTTACAGATTGTAGCGGAAAAAAAATAATAAAGGACATAATTTGCATCTTCTCTCCTTTAAGTACACACTGACGAGCTATGCATTACTGAGCCAAAATTAGAGGCTCACACGTGCCAGATCCATAGAGACATTCATCTATTACTTTAGAAAGATTAAGTGAAATATCTTCTCTACGGTAAAGAAACACTGTTGCTATGTGTTGAGAGATGTGGTAGCTATGGCACACTTGTTGGGCACATTAAAATGGCCAGGAATTGAAACCACAAAACACTTGTTGGCCACCGTTCTGTAAGAAATGAGTTGTCTGCCAAATGATCCTCATAGATTTCCTACATCTCAGCTGGAGGAGAGTGCTTGGCTTTTACTCAACTTTTGCTACCGAGAAGATTCCTTGGAGGACGTCCACGCTTTATCTGGGCAGTTAGGGTTCTTTGCCTTAAAAATCCACAAAAAAATGTGCGGACGAAGGTACAGACGCACTTTTGACATTTATCAGGTGATGTGGATAAATTGAATCGAAATAGAATTTTTCACGCAAAAAAAGTGTGCACTTGTCTTTTGCCCACTTTTTCCCAATCTGTACTTTATGCTACTTTAATTAACCCCTTAAGGACCAAACTTCTGGAATAAAAGGGAATCATGCCATGTCACACATGTCATGTGTCCTTGAGGGGTTAAGTTGTGCATGTTCTATGGATGGAATGAGACAGGCGCTCTTCTTCCCACTAGAATTTTACTTCAAATTCAATCTAACCTATTATCTTCCAGCTGGAGTTTTGTTCTCACAGATACAATGTATGTGAGAGTCCCACACCAGGTGACGGGGTATTGAATGCAAAATATGTGACTATGACATTATTTGAATGTTTCCAGTTCATTTTCCTTCGGTCAGTAATGGACTTTGTGTCCCAGTGCCTGGAGTGACATAGGAACAGACTGCAGGGGGGAGAATCATCTCCCTCCACCAGTGACCCAGTGTTTTACAGAATGCAGTATCTAATTTGAAGTCTGTGCAGGTTGAGCTGCCGTTGTGGTGTTTCAACACTATGCAAATCCTACCGGCAGCCAAAACATGAGGAATTTGCATCCACTGGGATGAATGACACGTTAGGAGATTTGAATCCAGTTTCAAACAGACATAATTAAACGCGGCGTGAGTCAACTGGCAAGTGTTCTCTCTAAGATGACCTGCTCCGAACGAGTCCAAGATTACTTCTTGTTAGCCTTTTCCCCCTGTAAATGCTTATTGATTTTTGCTGCTGAATCTATTTTAACCTCTTTAATGCTCGTCTTGTCAACTTCGAGGGAACGTAGAAATAAAAGACTTGGCCGTAGAGGCCGTTTGACCAGTCTGATTTGCCCAATATTTGTTATCTGTCGCACAGGGCTCAAAATATCCATTAGTCGCTGGCAAGTAAAAATTTATTCCTAGCTAGTAGCAATTGATGTGTGCCATGGATCCACCAGGTAAGTTGTAGGTAGGTTTGAGGCCTGTTAGTAGGAACTAAAAAATACATTTAAAACAAAATTGATTTCAGGAGCCAAAAGTCCCTTAGAATGTGCCCATTTTCTCCAAAACACAGGCTTTATGTAGGATTTCACTCCTTAGGACTGAAGTGTGTAGCCCAAGTCATCTTCAATTCTTCCATTGAATTACTGCCTCTGCTGGTAGGCTGTTCCCTGTATCTACAACTCCTTCCGTAACCTACAATTTATTCCCTCAATCTTCCCGTTATGTCTTCTTGTTTCAGCTGCCCTCTATCCCTCTTTCTACAAAAACTAGCAACGTCTAGTGCTTTATGAAACGCCTTGAGATATTTGTAAATCCCTGCTCCCCCTTCACCCCCATTCTATTTCTGCTATGTCGGTACAAACTCTGCATTCTTATAGATTGTATATTAATCAGACTTGTTCTACTGATCTATAAATTAATATAAGCACTGTACCTTTCCTACCGAGTCCCTCTTCATATTCTCTCCCAAATTCGGCAGTTCTTGCTTCAATTTGTGACGCTGACTCCAGCCCTCTCGTCCGTTTTGACACCTTAGATTGATAGAGAGAAATCTCAATGTATCAATCCTGGTAAAATATTTTATAAATAAATAATAGATTTCCTGCTTCTCTTTGAACTAATACCCAACACTGCAGGCTGTATAAACAATCTATACCTCAACTGGTTAATTGGCAATAGTGACATTATAACGTCAGCCACAAATACGAGTAAACATACTATTTAAACATTAGTAAAAGTTACACAGGCGCAGTATACACCGTGTGCGGGTAAATCACTCCAAGCTATGTTTATGTTGGTTGTACAACGTGCCCTACTGTAATAAACTGATTATTAAACATAAAATCTGACATGGGAATTTATAAACTTTAAAATAATTTAACAATAAAAATTAGGGGCCTTAGGGGTGAGAATTCAAATGGCACAGATTGATAAAATGGCACAGAAATTAAAAGTAGTTTGGCTGTTTTGGGAATAGCACATTCCTTGGGAATTCCTCGAAGCCCGATGAAAATCTCTGTAAATGCTCAATGTTATTTAATATAAAACTGTTGCATGTGAGGTTAACATGATAACTAGCTAAAAGGTATGTATGGTTTGTGCTATTCGATTTAGATTTCACTCTGTATTTATTTTCTATAGTTTACATTCTATTCCTGTCTCTCCTGGCACGGCCAGAGCACATCATGTAAATGTATTTAATTCTCATGATTCCATATCTACAAGCGCATGACTCGGCAAGGAATGTGTGAGCATGATACCCTCAGACGCCATTTTAGGAAGTGACCAAGCATGCATGGACGCGCCTGCAGTTTCCTGGAGAGATAGGGTCTTTCTCTGAACACAGAATGATTAATACTTACCTTTGCTGTACTACCCACCCCAGTGAGAACATCAGTAGTGAGGAAGTGAGATGTGACATAATAGTTTTAATAAAATCCAGATCTACAAATCTCTCATGGCTGCCTGGGAATCATTAGATGTACAATTATTTGTATAGTGTTAACATATTCCACAGCGCGGTACAATAGGTAAAATACAAACAATTCTAACAAATCAGATTTGATAAATGGGAACAGCATCTGAAGAGGGCCCAAACTGTAACGATTGTAGCGCCAAACTTTAGCAGTCCCAGCTATTGATTGATGGCGCATGCTGTGCGATATTTGGCCAGCACTGATTCCTACACGTGACTCTTTAGTAAATACAATCAGATCGTGTCTCTGGTTCCAGAAATGCGGGATGCAAGCTGGGGACGCAGTAACGGCAGCACAGACCGGCACGTTTTGGGGTTAGTCACATGGCCTGGGGTTTAACCCCTTTAATGGACTGTTGTTGAGAATTATTTCATTGTACATCAGATTACCCAAGCTGGAGAATTTTCCAATTCCAAAGTTTACTCTGTGAGCTACGGTCCGTTCGCCATTTAGTGATGATGGTGTTGATCATTGTTGCTGGGAGAAGTGTGAAGGAGCCAGTGCCATAAGCCGTTAATTAAAAAATAATAAATGTAGTGTGCAACTCGCCTGATCCACTACACATTCCACCAGAATCAACTGTGAATGCTCTACCTAACCAATAAAGTGACCAATTCATCCAACATTACTTTCTACGATCCTAAACATCCACATCTCACTTTACTATTCCAGTTTCCTTCACAGTAACGTGCAGTGTGTGGGTGTACCACAGAGCTCCACAGCAATAAAACTCACAGTAACATGCAATGTGTAGGAGTGTATCACAGAGCTCCACAGCAATAAAACTCACAGTAACATGCAATCAGTATGAGTGTATCACAGAGCTCCACAGCAATAAAACTCACAGTAACATGCAATCAGTATGAGTGTATCACAGAGCTCCACAGCAATAAAACTCACATTAATGTGCAATCAGTATGAGAGTATCACAGAGCTCCACAGCAATAAAACTCACAGTAATGCACAGTGTGTATTAGAGTATCATAGAGCTCCACAGCAATAAAACTCAAAGTAATGCGCAGTGTGTATGAGAGTATCACAGAGCTCCACAGCAATAAAACTCACAGTAATGCACAGTGTGTATGAGTGTATCACAAAGCTCCACAGCAATAAAGCTCACAGTAATGTGCAATCTGTAGGAGTGTATCACAGAGCTCCACAGCAATGTCAGTCACTGTGACAATAATGGAGCATTCAGATCACTAACTACATTTTAAAAACATCACGTTTATTGCATTTAGATGTTTATTAAATGTAAGTCTGACCTGGCACAGCCTGGCATCTGATGCAAATTTCCAGTTTCTTGCATTTCTCTGCACAGGCCCACGAAAGCAGGTGCTCGCAGGAGATCGTGGGGAAAATGATGCATAGCACATAGCACATAGCACACCTGTAGAACATTCTGGAAATTAACCTGAAACTCCCCGTAAATGGGCAGTATACAGAGACTGCCATGTATATTTTGTGACCCCAGTTTGAAGAGAAATGGTGTAAATGCCAGACTTGTGTATATGTGCACAACTGGCACAGGTTTTAACCCTTTCGCTGCCAAACCGGCCATTCACAAATTGTAAACGGTGTGGCAGTGTAATAGTTCAAATAAATCCGGATACTCTGGTGATAATGTACCCATGGCACGTCTGTTCTGCCGTTCCACCGTTTTAAAAAAGATCAATAAAGCACTGAGGACGTACAGCCCGCTGTGAAGTAGAATTACACACTGCAAACATGTATCACAGGGCCTGGAACATGACATGAACATATCAGGTTTATTCACAGAGCTCCAGCGTGTGGCCAAATCCAAATGGCAACATTGAGGCTAAAAGAGCTAACCGGTGATTCCAATTAGAATCGCTATTCACTAGAATTCTGTGTTTGGTAAATAGAAACCGGGAAACAAAGTCGGGACTGTCTCCCTAAAATAAGAACTGTCCCCCTAAATCAGGAATGTTGGGAGACTTGTTTTATTGTTCTTACGGCTGGCAATGTATCATGGAAATTGGGGCTCTCTCATGAACCCTCCCCTGCATGAGAAGATGTAGGACTTTCAAAGCTGCTGAATAAACCTGGATTTGTTCACACATTACGCCATGACAGGCTTAGCCCGCCGCTGTGTCAAAGCTCCTCACTTTAGGCAGATTTGAACTTAATCCTATTGTTTACACAGCTAATTATTGCTGAACCAGGAAATTAATCTGTGTGTTAAACCTGTCCATAGCTTGTCCAGCTACGTGGGCACCGCTAGCGACACATGGCAAACATTATATTGCCATATTATTCGATTATCTGTGATAAGACTTTTTATGCAGTGCTGAAAGTACTATAATGATACACTGGACAAAAGGATGACAGGTTTGGAAATGTCTCCACAACCACAAGCCGGTATTATTTTCTGCTAATACACCAGCATTATATACATTTTATATCACAGTATTTTTTTACAGAATTTGGGCACCAGTCTTTGCTATAATAATTAGTACCTGGCGAGTTATTACTGAAGTACAAGATCATAGAGCATTATATCCAAACTGTCAGACTGTCCTCTGAAATAACCAAGCAGAGCTCGAGCTGGACCGGAGAACCTTTCCTATTATGCGTCAATTTGTCTATTCAGATTTAATTCCACAACTACAAAGTGTCTCTTTTGTTCCCAAATCCCTCTGTCTCTCTTTTCTTTTCTAATGTCCCTCTTTTCTGGGAGCAATAATACTCCCAGTAATGTGTCTGAGTGTATAACAGAGCTCCACAGCAATAATACTCCCAGTAATGTGTCTGAGTGTATAAAAGAGCTCCACAGCAATAATACTCCCAGTAATGTGTCTGAGTGTATAACAGAGCTCCAACGCAATAATACTCCCAGTAATTTGTCTGTGTATAAAAGAGCTCCACAGCAATAATACTCCCAGTAATGTGTCTGAGTGTATAAAAGAGCTCCACAGCAATAATACTCCCAGTAATGTGTCTGCCTGTATAACAGAGCTCCGCAGCAATAACACTCCCAGTAATGTGTCTGAGTGTATAACAGAGCTCCACAGCAATAATATTCCCAGTAATGTGTCTGAGTGTATAACAGAGCTGCACAGCAATAATACTCCCAGTAATGTGTCTGAGTGGATAACAGAGCTCCACAGCAATAATACTCCCAGTAATGTGTCTGGGTGTATAACAGAGCTCCACAGCAATAATACTCCCAGTAATGTGTCTGAGTGTATAACAGAGCTCCACAGCAATAATACTCCCAGTGATGTGTCTGCCTGTACAACAGAGCCCACAGCAATAATACTCCCAGTAATGTGTCTGAGTGTATAACAGAGCTCCACAGCAATAATACTCCCAGTAATGTGTCTGAGTGTATAACAGAGCTCCACAGCAATAATACTCCCAGTAATGTGTCTGAGTGTGTAACAGAGCTCCACAGCAATAATACTCCCAGTAATGTGTCTGCCTGTATAACAGAGCTCCGCAGCAATAACACTCCCAGTAATGTGTCTGAGTGTATAACAGAGCTCCACAGCAATAATACTCCCAGTAATGTGTCTGAGTGTATAACAGAGCCCACAGCAATAATACTCCTAGTAATGTGTCTGAGTGTATAACAGAGCTCCACAGCAATAATACTCCCAGTAATGTGTCTGAGTGTATAACAGAGCTCCCCGGCAATAATTCTAGCAGTAATGTGTCTGAGTGTATAACAGAGCTCCACAGCAATAATACTCCCAGTAATGTGTCTGAGTGTATAACAGAGCTCCACATCAATGATACTCCCAGTAATGTGTCTGAGGGTATAACAGAGCTCTCCAGCAACAATACTCCCAGTAATGTGTCTGAGTGTATAACAGAGCCCCACAGCAATAATACTCCCAGTAATGTGTCTGAGTGTATAACAGAGCTCCACAGCAGTAATACTCCCAGTAATGTGTCTGATTGTATAACAGAGCTCCACAGCAATAATACTCCCAGTAATGTGTCTGAGTGTATAACAGAGCTCCACAGCAATAATACTCCCAGTAATGTGTCTGAGTGTATAACAGAGCTCCACAGTAATAATACTCCCAGTAATGTGTCTGTGTATAACAGACCACCACAGCAATAATACTCTCAGTAATGTGTCTGAGTGTATAACAGAGCCCCACAGTAATAATACTCCCAGTAATGTGTCTGAGTGTATAACAGAGCCCCACAGCAATAATACTCCCAGTAATGTGTCTAAGTGTATAACAAAGATCCACAGCAATAATACTCCCAGTAATGTGTCTGAGTGTATAACAAAGATCCACAGCAATAATACTCCCAGTAATGTGTCTGTGTATAACAGACCACCACAGCAATAATACTCTCAGTAATGTGTCTGAGTGTATAACAGAGCCCCACAGCAATAATACTCCCAGTAATGTGTCTGAGTGTATAACAGAGCCCCACAGCAATAATACTCCAGTAATGTGTCTGAGTGTATAACAGAGCTCCACAGCAATAGTGTACTCCCAGTAATGTGTCTGAGTGTATAACAGACCACCACAGCAATAATACTCCCAGTAATGTGTCTGAGTGTATAACAGAGCACCACAGCAATAATACTCCCAGTAATGTGTCTGAGTGTATAACAGAGCCCCACAGCAATAATACTCCCAGTAATGTGTCTGCGTGTATAACAGAGCCCCACAGCAATAATACTCCCAGTAATGTGTCTGAGTGTATAACAGAGCTCCACAGCAATAATACTCCCAGTCTGAGTGTATAACAGAGTAGCAATAATACTCCAAATGTGTCTGTGTGTATAACAGAGCTCCACAGCAATAATACTCCCAGTAATGTGTCTTTAAACAACAATAAATGTGTTTAGAAATCAGTCTGTAAATAAGAGACATTGTTCTTCTTCTAAATTACATTTTATTTTGCAAATTGTTCTTAGTAAGTCACCTAAAAGTTCTCAGAAGAGCCCCGCCTCTGGCCACCCCTCTACTCACACCCCTTAATTTGTGAGTCTGTTTGTGTGAAATGTCAGGGGCTAATTACAGAATCTGATCATACATTGCATGTTCACTCTCTAGCTAACTACCATATATTTCATTTAACTGATTTTTGTGTTATTAGATCTTTGATCGTTTCACATTATTTTCATTTTTTATTGCACAAACGCCCCAACATTTAGTGGAGGTGGAGTATGTATTTGTTAATTAATGGGATACTTTAAGCACTATAACCACTGCAGCCTGATGTAGCCTGGCCCGTTCCCCGGTAATGGGGCATACTGTTTATTAATGGTTTGCCCTTTTGGCTGCATTCCTAGCGGGCTCCAAATCTCCTATGTCTAGTGCCATGCTTCCAGCTCCTGCAGAGCCCATCCAGTCGCGAGTTCAGGGCAGCGTCAGGTGATCACTTTCAGTCAATGAATGGCACACTGTGCAAAACAAAAAATTGCACAAATTGGCTTTTCTTCTGAGCTGACTATGTGGATTTACACCTCGGCAGCCAAGGGGTTAAACTCTGTGCAGTGTTTCATAGCAAATAATAGAGACTTCATACACCATAACCACCTTACATCATGGAAGTGGTCATGGCTCCTGGAGTAACGCTTTAAATGTTTGGGTGGCACTAGTGCAGCTTGCAAAGTCCATTCTGTGCTGGGCCTCTTTTCTTTGGCAATTTGGTTCTGAATTCACCGGTTTAAGCAAACAGTGTTTGGGACTTACTGCCGGCTGTGCAGTCGTTAACCATTTAGGTACCACAGTAACGACCCCATTATCCTTCTTGCATCTTTCCGTTCAACTTAAATTTTGTAATTCTCTTGTCAAATCCCCACAGATCACCGTTTAGTGAATGCACCCCAAAGCGTTACCCCCCATGCTGTGTGCATGGAAAGCAGTCTATTAATCTTCTTGGCTTGTGTGTGAGCTGTTTAAACACCCTTGTTATATCTCCTGTGTTCATCTCGATCTGCTCAGAAGAGTTTATAATAGATCACTTCTCTACTTGAGAAATAGTAAACAGAGTAAGTTTTAAAACGCCAGCTCGCTCGAGTTAAGTTGTTGCAGCTGTCAGTGTCAGTATTACACTATTATGACTGTGTTTATGGGAAATAACGCAAGTTTAATGACATGATCCAATAAAACAAAAATGAAACTCTCCACCTCCCTTTCTCCCGTGACTGTCAAACATACAATTAATGCAACGTTATCCAGAGAATACACTGGAAAATCTATAGGGTGCAAGCATGATACAATGAATCTCAGTGCAAGTGGTTTTATATTAAAAGGGAACGACAGGCTGAAATGGCTCATGTAGAGAATGCATTAAAAATGAAGTTTAGACTATATAAGAAGCCACGTATTCTGACCTCTCATTCTGGAGTTTGTTGGTGTCAAGTATAACAATCCAACACGCAAGGTTTAACCCTATAGTATTCAAAGAGGATAGCAGCATATTACGGGACCTTAGAGTGGCTTAACGCAATGTCATGGTACAAAACAAGGACAGGGATTCTGGACGTACACACGAGAAGCCAACCTAGATTACAGAGTAGCCAATGTGAGTGGACATGGTCAGTTACATCAATTAGCACCAATGACATACTTAAGATTGGTGTGACATCATAAAATGGGACGGAGCTACAGTGCCTGGCATTAGAAACGCTGACAGGGATGTCTGAGGGTGGAAACCTGACGTGATACATTCTTGAAGAGGTAGAGGCACCCTGTGAGTTAACAGTATGACATGTTTAACCTAAAGGACGAAATGGTTAATAGATTTCACAGAATTCTTTGCACAGCCCCAATTTTACTTAAAGCAGAGGTGTATGGGACTTGTAGTTCAGTTATCAGTTTTCTACTCATTAAACAGTTAGTGGAACTACAACTCCTAGAAAGCTTTCCATGTCTCTGGTTAAGAGGGAAGCAACAGAAAGTGAGGTGTACGCATTTACAGGAACCGGCGAGAAGGAAGTACTTTAGAATTGAGGAGGAGAGACAAAGGGGCCGGGCTTAACATATGTAGAAAACTTCAATACATTTTACAAAATCAGACATGGATAAAATACAGATAACGGTTTGGGCCAAAATCTAAAAAACATAGGAAAGTTGTGCTGGCACCAGGAGTGTGAAAATAAAATGAATACCATTTGTAGCGGAGAGCTGATATCCCACAGACTAAATCTGCTATAGATCTCAGTGTGGCTCAGGAACAAGTAAATAATCCCAGGTAAAACATCCACAGTAATAAAATAATCCAATAGAGTAGCAGGCACGATCGGTAATATAATCCAGCAATATCCCTTCACGTTTCCCAATAACTGGACGACACACAGTATCAGGAGCAGAACTGGAACTTTTAACCAAACACTCTGTTTTTATGCACATTCTTACACAAAAGGACTGCCCACAGGGTTTTGAAGAACAACCAATCAATACGTTACAACGCAGCTAAACACTCCCATTCATGACATCAGAAATCCTCCCCTCTGCCTGTGATACAATTATCTCAACACAATAGACTAACTTAATTATCACAGGCAGAAAATCTACAGTTTTTACAAAATATTAATAACTTCCAAAATATACATGCCATTTTCAGAAACAGCACACTTGAAATATACAAATACTCAAAAATCATGCAAATCCTTCCAGTAGTTCAAAAGTTAGTAGGGAGTCCTTTTCTGACCGATCACAAGCACATTTACCTGCCCAAAACAGTTCCATAGATTTGGGCTGTGTGGTCGGTCAATTTCACACAAGAAAAATGTCTAAGTCTCATTCGAATGCACGAATGGGCCCATTCGTGCAAATAGTACAGCATCACCTGGCGTTCGAATTGTCGAGCGCACTTTGACGTTAGCCGAAGCGTCAAAGTGGATGAGAAGGTAAACTGCAGTGGTGTTCGTGCCGTCAAGTAGCCGATTTCAGTTCCATGAAATCAACGGCAAAACACCGCTGACCACGTGTGAATGAACTAAAATGGCCGCTGCCGCGTGTTCGGCTGTTGAATGGTGGCCACTTCAATTACTTCGGCTACAGCTGAAGTGCCATAACGAAGCTGCAGGTCTTTTCCCAAAGTACTTTAAAGGGTACTTAAAACAGTGCAGTATGATACACTATGCCCAAATTCTGTCTTTAAAGGGCAATACCCCCAGGGCCATAGTCACATGGCAGGAGGCGGGCAAGCAAGCCCCTCCAAAAGCTCATGGCAAACTCTCTTAAAGGGGTGAGTTTGCCACACCATTCATAGTGTGTAATAGGTTAGGTGTAATTTTTGTAAGTGTCCAGTTTGCAGATTTGTAAAACCAATAAACTCCAAGGTATTTATTTTCTAAAACAGAGATAACCAGTCCAGCAGTGCACAATTTATGTATTTATCAGTTATTTTCCATTTTTTAAAACCCGGTTCCCTAGACATTTTTCAAACCACTGTTAGTACACTTAAGGAACGACTTTGGAGCCACTGAAATCTGGTAACCTAGAGACCGAAGTATCAGAATTTCTGCTAACGTAGGCAGGATGGGAATATGGTTAGGTTGGAGTTTATAGCTCTGGTGTTTTCTGTAAAACGAATCTCACTGAAGTTTCAAAGAAATATTTTTTTTTTATTAAAACTATGTGTTGTATTAAAATTTAATATATTTTTAGTTTAGTTTAACAAGTACTTTGTTTCTGTATCGAAAACAATGAACCTTTCATTTCTCAGGAGAGGATTTGCTTAAAGTGCTCGGTGTGATAAAATTACACAGAGAGAAGGTATTTTAATATGCTCTACAATTTATTTATTTAATGTTTTTCATTTTATTTCTTCCATTTCAGATGAATAAATCATTTTTGTATGTATTTCTGACTGTTTATATATTCGTGATCTGCCCTCAGTTCAAAGCTTCCACTCCCCTTATATCTCCTACCCATCACACTCATGGTGAGCTTTTGTCATCCGATAATGACCTCTACTGTCAAGAGGAAAGCAATCAAGTTGGCCAGAACAGAAGACAGTTTGTAGATGGTTTGGCTGGGATTGTCCTTCCCTTTCCCTCTACATCATTCATTGTCTGTACATTGTAAGCGGATTCTCTCTCCATATATACGCTAAGGACATTGCACCAGCGGATATTATTAAGGGGCATATCAAGCAGATTTGACGGAGAAAAAATGATTTTATGGGACAGCTGAGTTTCAGGTGGTTGTGGGTTCGGCTAAGCTAACTTTTGATTCGGGAACCAAATCAGACAACAAACCAAAAAGGTGAAAAAATGGCCAATCAGTGCGCTGCAAAATATATACATTGTATAACATTGTATAATATAATAATATGTATATATCTTACGGGACACTGATTGGAGCATTTCCCAGCCATTTGGTTCACAGATCAAATTAGAAAAATTAACCAATGAGAGGGAAAACAGGAGGACAGTAAAAAACAAACTATATTTGTATATTATAGAATTATTAAAGGGTCAACTATAGTAACCAGAACCGCTGCAGCTTAATGTATAGTAAATAGCTTAACATAGTGTCCCTGCAGCATGGATGCGCTGAACGTTTACCATAGAGATAAATTGATTCAATACATCTCTATAAGGAGATGCTAATTGGCGCAAAACGATGTTTCCCTGTGTATGTTCAATAGTCTCCCTGTGCTTCCTATGGGAAAGGAATGGATTGGCTGAGATCATCATTTTTGATTACCTCAGTCACCGAGGAGGAACCAGGTGGGGTCAGCTGCAGTGAGACCGGCGCGGCAGTTGTGTAAAGGTGAGTAAAATCCCCTGTAATCTCCCTAAAATGGAGGATTCTGCAAAACCCAGCCCCTTTGCTTGGGACACGGTATAAAGATATTTTAAAGGGGAACCGTCACTTCGATAATTAATATTATGTTTCCTTATTCCTATATTTAACAAATCTATATTTGTAATTTTTTTTTTTTTTTTTTTAGAAATTAACACCTTGTTATCCATGAACAACCAATGCAACACTTGTTGGCACGATACTAGTAACAGTCATTTACAGTCATTTCAGCGATGATTTCCCTGCACACGTAGGGTTTGTATTTACATTTAGAGTTCACTACTTACAGGGTTACTCCAAGCACTCTAACTACTCCAGTATTTTGAAGTTGTCATGGTGCTTGGAGTCTGTATGTGCAGATATATTTAATATTGCTGCCAGCATTATCCCAGAGTTAGCCAATGAGTGACTGGCCAGATCGGCATATAGCGTGTGCAAAAGCTGAATACACATCACTCGCCATAACAGGAGAACTGGCGCCCGGTGAGACGAAGGAAAGAGGGTTCCCCGATTACTGGGTGACAGCACAGTAAATGAGTCACATACTGACCACAGTATGCCTTCAGAAAATAACACGTGACTCTTTTTTTCTCTCTTCTCATATGCAATTCAAATGCAACTTAATTTATTTATGATTTTTGAGAGAGAGAGAGAGTTCCCTTTAAATTCTACATTGTAATTTAGCTGTTGGTGAGGAGCGGAATGAGCTGTAATAACCCACAGACAAGATTGTTTCCACTCTGTAGATTTTCAAGCCTGCAGCGCCACCACATGTTTAAAAAGAAGATTGCATTATATGGTCTTTCAATTTCTTGATCTCTTAGTGGCAGTTCATATATTAGTGGACTACATTTCCCATGATGCATAGCCATTCTGCATAGTAATACTTCTTGCCATTCTATCCCAAACCGATCAGGGCGATTAGGTTTTCAGTTTAAGTGAAGGCATAACTTTTCAATATTGCAATAATTATATAATTACATTTCTATCATTAACTTAACACTTTGAAAAAAGATGAAAGCCAAGCGATATTGACCAAATTTAGAATACATTTAACATGTAAGTAATTTGTATGTTAAAGGAAAAGTAAACGGTTTCACAAGATATAGACTTTTTTAAAAGTCAGACTTTTTATTTTTTTATTTGTGGGAATAAATTGATTCATAATGGCAATAATAATACAATAATGCTTACCTTTTCACTGTGATCATTTTACAAGGGCCCAGCTAATTCACATGCTACATACTGCAGATGTGTATAGCAACACTTACTAAATTCAATAGTTTTTTTCCCAGACAGGATTTAACAATAATTTTCTCCTCCATTAACAATTAATTAAGGGACACTATACTCTCCAAAACAACTTTAGCTTAATGAAGCAGTTTTGGTGTATAGATCATGCCTCTGAAGTGTCAGAGAAATGAACAGTCAGACTGGATGGGCATGATGTTGTTTTGGTGGCCATAGTGTGCCTTTAACAGTGAGAGAATGTGACCCCCTCTGCTGATTGCATTCTGGTCTTTGCTGGTTCTGGAAACCCGCAGGGCCATCTGTAAAAGACTGTGATGGTGTGAAACGGTGTTTATCTGAAGTGATGAATGCCATTCTTGCATAATAAATATTGCAAACTTTACAACCTCCCATTCTTTTTATAAAAATAGCATTATGTCTAAATGATAGTTGTAATAATATTGTAATTAATATTTTATTGTTACAATTTGCATGATCACTGCACCTACATATTCATGGTATAAAGCCAGTATATTGAACCTTAAAGTATATTTTAATGACATGTTTTTGATCTGAACATTTTCTGTAGAGTTTACAGTATAATCAATATTTTTTTTCCCATTCGCAGAATATTCCTGGTAGGACATGTGATCCGTTCATTTCAACATGACTCTTCTAGGTGGAGAAAATTCGGACTATGACTATAGTGCCCTGAGCTGCGCCTCCGATACCTCTTTCAACCAAAACATCTTTACGGAAACAGAATCACTCAAGGGAATCTTTTACAAACGAGCAAAGCTCATCCATCCAAGAGAGGACCTCTTTAAAAGTGCTCATCCAGAAGACCGCAAGCACCATGCAATCATTAATGTTGGGGGGATCCGGTATCTTCTACCATGGACAACCCTGGAAGAGTTCCCTTTGACACGTTTGGGTCAGCTGAAACTTTGCAGCAATTTTGATGAAATCTTGAACATTTGTGACGATTACGATGTGACTTGCAATGAATTTTTCTTTGACCGGAATCCGGGAGCTTTCAGAACTATTTTGACTTTTCTGCGGGTGGGCAAGCTCCGGTTGTTGAGAGAAATGTGTGCCTTGTCCTTTCAGGAGGAGCTTCTGTACTGGGGTATTGAGGAGAACAGCCTGGAATGGTGTTGCAGGAGGAGATACATCCAGAAAATGGAAGAGTTTGCAGAGTTAAACCTGAGGGAAGATGAGCTGATTGAGAATGAGAATCCATCCGAATGCGAGGAAGAGACCAAATTCAACAAGTGCATGCGTCATCTCCGTGACATGGTGGAGAAACCACAGTCTGGACTTCCAGGAAAGATATTTGCCTGTCTGTCTGTCTTATTTGTGACAATCACAGCGGTAAATCTTTCCATTAGCACAATGCCAGAACTGAGAGAGGAGGAAGAAAAGGTGAGTCTTTCATTTATGGACACTCCAGACTCCATACAGCACGTTATCTCTACTAATTGCTTTATGTGAGAAGAATGTGTGTTCTTGGCTTTTTTTCTTTTTACAAAAAGTGCAGATTTCAGTAAAAGTTGGCATGTTTATAATTTAACCTTGTTACTATCCCTTGGCTGTCAATCAGACATCAGTCCTGTTACTTCCTGGTTTGTTTAGCTCAGTGGAGATAAACTCAAGAGGCAGCAATTGCTCAGAGCACCTGCCTTGCAAAGACTTCTCATTGAGCTGCATTGGGAAGTCTGTGATTGGACAGCCACAGAAAGCCTGGGCGGGGTTAGAAGGGGAGGGCTTGCAAAGGCTACAGATAAGAGATCTGCAGGTTTTACAAGCTGTTTTTAGATATGCTGCAATGAAAAATGCATTATTAAATGCATGATTTATCATATTTTAGCAGTATAGTGCCCCTTTAAACACTAGTTACATAAGTAACTTTAATGTCTCAGTGACAAAACAAGAGTAAGAGACACTTCATAGGTTCAGCAAACTAATGATTGAACCTCTAAAGTAGGAATCTCAAACTCTCACCCCCAAGATGTTGCTGAACTACAACTCCCACAATTCTCTGGCCAACTATTGGTTTTCAAAGAATTCTGGGAGGTGTAGGCCACTAACATGTGACGGGCTATAGTCTGACATCCCTGCTCTAAAGTCTTAAGCTAGAAGAGTTTGAATCTGCTGGCCAGGACTAGATTGCCTCCTACAAAAACCAGAGCCATCTATACACGTCGTACTCTTTATATCACATAATGTACGCAACTTGTTTTACTGTGAAATGCCACAATGCTAAATATCAATGTTACACGTGGATAAAATATCCTTTAAAGGGAACCTGTCCCTTTTACTGTCATTTTTAATATAATGTTTACTTAGTCCAATATTTAACAAATCTGTATTTGTAAGGTGTGAAAAATAGAATTAAATGTAGTAATCCCCAGCTCTTTATCCTGCGACTGGGCACCTCTATCTTAGCTCCCTGTCAGTCATTGTTATAAGCTCCGCCCTTTACACCTGGCAGTCAGTATAGAGGGAGCATACAGAGAGAAGGAGACATGTAACAATGATTCGATTTCTCCACTTCGTTTGCATTGTGTGCCCTGACTGTGCCTTGTCTGAACTGGATTCTGACGAAATTTGCTAAATATTTAAAATAAACGTAAAAGAAAAAGGAGTATCTCATGAGTAAAAATGTTAGCACAAGTTATAGGTGATTTTCAATGTTGTATTCAATAAATAACTTTATTGTAAATTCCAGAGAAGAGATAGTTGCCCTTTAAAACTCAAACCAAACAAAACAATTGGTCGCTAGACTCCATAATGTTTCAGTTTACTGCTTCCAGACCTTAACAGGACACACCGCGGTCATTGCTAACACCTCAACCATCTAAAAATCCTCGGCATACGATTCCTGGCAGCATAAACAAACGACATAAACTGCAAGCATAGCTGGAACCTTCATTTTCAGTAATGGCACGCGATAGTGGTTATGGTGCCTGGAGTGATTATTTTAATGTAGCCTATATATGGTGAATGTTCATGTGTATTGAAAGTGATTTGAGACATGAGTTAATTCGCTAAACTCTGAATTTTAATGAATTAAATACCAAATGACAAAATTTAGGCTGAAATGGCCAAACAGTGACTATAGCCAATTTAAAAAAATTTCCGGATCAGATATCGCCATTTAGATTCAATTTGCTACAATTCAGTGTTTAATTAATAAACAATGCGTTGTCTGTGCTCTGTGTTAGTAATCAGTGCCCAGTGTACGAACTGCTCCAGTAGAGGAAAGTGATTTAATTCCTATTATTTGTATTCTCATTGTAACACACAGTGCGCAGTGCTTTGCGTCGTTAGCCATTACATTCCCTTAATATGCTATATCTGGCGTCACCTGTCACAAGTAGCCACTTTTTATTTAAATAATGAATGCAGACCATGCAGGCGCACAGGTAGAAGCTATAATCAGGCCGTTCCCAGTTAGTATAAGAAATCGGGCTATGTATACGTATCCCAGTGGGTTTCCTATTATGAGATACGCTGTCACATACTAGCTAGTGCAGGCACTCGCTGACTAGGGAAGCCGCAATGTCGGAGCATTTGCTGCAAATGTAGGACTTTCTATAGTGAATTTCTTTAATGAATTTATTCATGTGTTAGTCGTTTTTTATTTCTGTGTTTATGCATCTATGCAAAACCTTAAAGAAACGGTTCATCAAGCTTTTAGCCACCAAATCGTCAAGGCAACGGTCAGTGCGCAATGATTCAACCAGTGGCAGAATTTAGCATTTGTGGTTCTCTCTTTACATTTACTGCACTTATTCCCGTCATACTGAATGAGAATCCAGACGTTCTATGATAGGTAGCCTGGAACAGGGAAACATTAAAGCAATACATTATTTCACAATAGAATTAAATAATTTTTATTAGACTAACCAGATCAGTAAAATGTTGTTTTTTTTTTTTTCTTTTTCCCAGGGCCAGTGCTCAAAAATGTGCTACAATATTTTCATCGTTGAGTCTGTCTGCGTGGGCTGGTTTTCCCTCGAGTTCCTGCTGCGTTTCATCCAGGCGCCCAGCAAGTTTGCTTTTCTGAGGCGACCACTGAACCTTATAGACATTGTAGCCATCTTGCCCTACTACATCACGCTGGTCGTTGACAACACTTCAACTGGGCAAAAGAAGCCAGGATCTGGAAACAGCTACCTAGACAAAGTGGGCCTGGTTCTGCGCATACTGCGTGCCTTGAGAATTTTGTATGTGATGCGCCTGGCGAGGCACTCCTTGGGCCTACAGACATTGGGGCTCACAGCCAGACGTTGCACTCGAGAATTTGGACTCCTGCTCCTCTTCCTGTGTGTGGCTATCGCCCTTTTTGCTCCCTTACTCTATCTGATTGAGAATGAAATGGCGGACTCCCAGGAATTCACCAGTATCCCCGCATGTTACTGGTGGGCGGTGATCACGATGACGACGGTAGGCTATGGAGACATGGTCCCTAGAAGTATTCCGGGACAAGTGGTGGCACTCAGTAGCATTCTAAGTGGAATTCTGCTCATGGCTTTCCCGGTCACTTCTATCTTCCACACTTTCTCACGTTCCTACATCGAGCTGAAACAGGAGCAGGAGAGGCTGATGTGTCGCAGGGCGCAGCTGCTTCTGAAAACAAAGTCTCAGCTGAGCGATATCTTACACGGGAGCGACATATTGTTTGAAAGCATATCTTCGGAGACGAAGGACAATGACTGAAAAGGAATTGACTGTGGATGCACAGCTGCGTCTATATGAACGGACTCGGGTTTCTGTTTGCCCAGAGACCATTTGAAAGCAGTGGCTTATATACTGCTTTATGGAAATAAAGCTACACTGAGTATCCATTCCTTGCTCTCTCGTTCCCTTTTAGCAACTGTGAGTGTGACTGTTTAAGTGCTGGAAGAGAGTTATTGCTCACTCTGGAACTTCCAAATCTACTGTGAAAGAAAGGAGATGCTCCCTTGATGGGGTGTCCGTGATCCCTTCGATTGCCTGGTGCAATGAAGCAACACTAGATCCCTACAGCGGTGGCTCCTCTGTTTTCTTTGTGTGTTTCTGTAGGTTTTAGGTCCAAGAAACATGGTACTGGCTACTAAAGTATCATTGAAGATCCAGGAAATAACTCCTTGGTCCAAATCACAAGTAGCCCTGCACCAACAAGTCCCATCACAATGGACCCTCCTAGCATGCGTTGTTTCTATTCGCTGCTCCTTTGCCAGTTCATGTTCGCAGATACTGTGGATGTTGGGTTTTGATGACAATTGACAGTCCCTAACATGGCACAGATAATTCTGCTCCCACTTGGAGACCTCCAAAGCTTTCTGATGCATTTCCAAGAAACAGAATAGAGTCTTTTCCCAGCATGCAGTGTCTGTCAGCGGTCCTCCTGATCGTTACCCATCCCAGTAAATCAATCATTCATAAGGAGTCAGTCCAAGTCAGGGGTTTAATGAAAGACTTCAAGGTGAATTTCTAAGCCATAAAATGTAGTCTACTAAAAATGTGTTCCTCTTACAGCAAATCCCTAGCCTCCAATCCTCTTTCAATTCCATCCACTGAAATAGGAAGTGGCTGGAACTTTATAGCCAATCCTTGATCTCCCACTGAAACTAATATGAGCCACATGATAAATGTGCTCCGTTAGTTGTAATGGGGACGTCTGGCCAGCAATGCACAGCAGTAAACTCACAAAGTTTTGCTCACGAATGCCTTATTTTATGATTGGGATAATTAACTCTTAATGTTTTGAATGGATCTCCAACTGGTACATGAATGTGTGCTCTGAACAAAGAGCTTATCATTCTGTCTATACATTGTGTTAAAACAATTGCTAGCAAATGTATAGATTTTTAAAGACATTTAGATAAGATTCCCCCTGGTTAACAATTCTCAGCATACTGACTGTACCAATTGTATATGCATATGTGGAAGATTGACTGACAGATGATGGTAGGAGATCCCATTTACAGGTGGTTCTCCTGCTCTTTGTCACAGCAACTAGGAACTCGGGAAAGCAGATGAAGTTGTCACTCCATTGAGAATCCAATGTGCTGACAGTGATTTAGCTGGAAGTGGAGGTGGATAGGTGTTTAACACCAATAAAAATGAGACCCAGACAGTGACACAAAATGATATAGAGGGAAGTCAGTACTAAATCAATATTTCCTAAAGAAATTAAATGTATAACTTAACTTTATAATAAATTATATTTTAATGTATTTATCACTTAAGGAGATATTGGAATGACAAATTTATTTTAATGGTTTATGAATATGTGAAGAAGATGTTAAAATTTCACTTGGAGTCTCTCTTCAATTATATTTCCCAGATCTAGCATTGATAGAGGTCCTATGCATTTTTACTTCCAATAGATTGCAAGCTGTTTGGCCCTACAAGAATTACAATGCGTCCCACTAGTGTCACGTGCACGGATGATTAAACACAGAAAGCTGTGAGTCCCTTGTCGGGGGTATTGTAGTCAAACTTAGTATTGCTTTGGCTGTGGTTTGTTTAACGTCAGAGTAGGTTTCTCAAATTAACCCATTCCTGTAAGTAGTGCAATGTTACTAAAATGAAACGTGTTTGTCTGGTCGTAGATTTCATTAACATTAACTTCAATTTACTGCAAAAAAAAAAAAAGAGAATTCTGCCTCCAACCTTCTATAGCTTTAATAGTGTGTATTTTTGTTTCCGCAGGATGTTCAAAATAAAAATCGCACTGCAGTTTAAATCATATTTTTGCCATAAATTATATTATTTATACAGATTTGTATATTTGTGTAAATACAGCTGTGTCAACATGAATTGTGTTGAATAAAGAGTTGAAGATGTCGTGTTGTTTATTATATACATTGTCCAGGCCGATCCTCCTGAAGGGTGTCTACCGATAAACAATACACAGTGAGTACTAAGGCTGAACTCAGGAAACCTGGCCAAGCTGGCCTAAATCTTTCAATGTCGGTTTTCTACAAATCTTGGTTACAGTGCCTTGCAAAAGTATTCACCCCCCTTGACTTTTTACCAATTTGTTACATTACAGCCTTAAGTTCAATGTTTTATTAATCTGAATTTTATGTGATGGATCAGAACACAATAGTCTGGTGAAGTGAAATGAGAAAAATATATACATAAAACTATATTTTAGAAATAGAAAACAGAAAATTGGCATGTGCGTATGCAGGGGCGTACATAGAGCATTTGGCACCCGGGGCGGATCCTGTGCTTGGCCCCCCCACCCAAAAAACAAACAAAAAAAAAAAACCTGTAAAAAATGTTAAAGGTTTTATTTCTTTTATTTTTACAATTTGTAAACTTTGCAAAAACGCTGTCAGCCCCTCCTACAAAACCCTTGTCCTGCCCTGCCCCTCCTATAAAACCTCTGTCCTGCCCCTTCTACAAATCCTGTACTGCCCCATCTACAAAACCCCCGCAACCCCCTTCCACAAATCCCCTGCTTATCCCCCCTTATAAAGACTCCTGTCCTAATACAAAACCCCCACCCCCTTCTACAAAATCCCTGCAGCCCCACACACATTTACAGGCAGACAGTCACACACTCAGTTACAGACAGACAGTCACACACTCAGTTACAGACAGACAGTCACACACTCAGTTACAGGCAGACAGTCACACACAGTCACAGGCAGACAGTCACACATACACATTTCCTCCGTGCGGCCAGTTTATCAGCTGTTTGCTTGTGTGAGTTGTACTGGCCGCACGGCACCCTAACTACCATGGGACACTGTGCGGCCACAGCTCACACAGCCCCCTCCAGCCAGGGCCGGTGCAAGGATTTTTGCCACCCTAGGCAAAAGTAAAGTTTGCCGCCCCCCATGTGACATCACAATGCCCCAGCCATATGATTTGCCATGTTACCTAACGCCAGTGCTGCAGTGCCACCGTGTTTACATTAAAAGGCCTGCAGGGACAGGCTATAGACACCAGAACCATTACATTAAGCTGCAGTGGTTCTGGGGACTATAGTGTTTCTTTAATGTGAGGTAAATTAGAGCTTAGTGCCATGAATAATTTACTAGATTGCCTACTTACAACCAGATGAGGATGATGATGGGCTCTAGCTGCAGTCTGGCTCCACTGGTCTGGTGTAGAACAGGCTCTCTGGAGGCGGTTTGTAACTGTGGTCACAAAAATCAATGTTCTGGGAGAATGGGAAGCAGCTCCATTTTTTGGGGGTCCTTTACACAGCTCAAGGTCTGGGTCCCAGGGTCCACCTTCATGTTCCACCAATGAGTTTGTTCACAGGGGGTAGAGTGTGTAGGGGATGTCCGGATATGTGTGTAAGGAATGCATTGTGTGAATCTGTGTTTGTATGTGTAAGGGCTGCAAGGTGAGTTTCTGTGTATGTAAGGGATGCATTGAGTGTGTGTGTAAGGGGTGCATTGAGTGTGTGTAAGGAATGCATTGTGTGTAAGGAATACATTGTGTGAATCTGTGTTTGTATGTGTAAGGGCTGCAAGGTGAGTTTCTGTGTATGTAAGGGATGCATTGAGTGTGTGTGTAAGGGGTGCATTGAGTGTGTGTAAGGAATGCATTGTGTGTTTCTGTGTGTGTAAGGGATGCATTGTGTGTAAGGGTTACATTGCTTGTGTGTGTGTGTGTGTGTGTGTATGTGTAATGCATTGTGTGTTTTTCTGTGTGCAGGGGGTGCATTGTCTTTGTGTGTAAGGGGTGCATTGTGTGTGATGGATGTCAATCTCTTCTCCCCCCTCTCCCTCCCTTGTCCCTCTCTTCTCCCCCCCTTGTCACTCTCTTCTCCCCTGCTTGTCCGGCTCTTCTTCCCCCTCCCTTGTCACTCTTTTCTCCCCTCCCCACTCTCATTCCCCCATCAATTCCCCTCCCTGTCAATTTCTTACCCCCCTGTCAATTTACCTCCCCTGTCATTCCCCCTCTCCCTCTCCATTTCCCCCATCTCCATTTCCCCCCCTCCCCATTCTCCCCCCTCTCCTCCTCCCCCCCTTCCCCTCTCCATTTCCCCCCTCCCCATTCCCTCCCCCCTCCCATGCCTCCCCCTCCATTTCCCCAGCTCTCCATTTCCCCCCTTCCCTCTCCATTTCCCCCCTCTCCATTTCCCCCCTTCCCTCCTCCATTTCCCCCCTCTCCATTTCCCCCTCTATTTTCCCCCTCCCTGTCCCCCCTCCCCTGTCCTTCCTCCCCCCCCCCCCAAATGTCAATTTCTCCCCCTACCTCCCTGTAGCGTGGCCGAGCCCTCTATGGTATGGTCCGCGGGTACAGGGAGCTTTTGTTTCCTGTACCCGGCTGGACTAACAGGAAGTACACACTCAGTGTGCACTTCCTGTTAGTCCGGCCAGGTACAGGAGACAAAAGCTCCCTATACCCGTGGACCATACCATACAGAGCTCGGCCACGCTACAGGGAGGGAGTGACAGGAGGAAGCGCTGAGTGCTTCCCTCCTGTCAGCCCCTCTCCTCATGGACGCACCGCCCGGGCAAAGCTGCAGCCGCCTGAGGCTCTCTACAGAGAACTCGGGCGGCTGCAGCATGAGGGGGGCCGGCGCCCCCTCCCAAGGGGCGCCCTAGGCGGCTGCCTAGTCCACCTTACAGGTAGCGCCAGCCCTGAACCTGTACCACTCTGTGCGTGATTTGAGGCTAGGATGGAGGTTCACCTTCCAGCAGGACAATGACTCCAAACACACTGCTAAAGCAACACTTGAGTGGTTTAAGGGGAAACATGTAAATGTGTTGGAATGGCCTAGTCAAAGCCCAAACCTCAATCCAATAGAAAATCTGTGGTCAGACTTAAAGATTGCTGTTCACAAGCACAAACCATCCAACTTGAAGGAGCTGGAGCAGTTTTGCCAGGAGGAATGGGCAGAAATCCCAGTGGTAAGATGTGGCAAGCTCATAGAGACTTATCCAAAGCAACTTGGAGCTGGGATTGCCGCAAAAGGTCGTTCTACAAAGTATTGACTTTAGGGGGGTGAATAGTTATACACATTGACTTTTTCTGTTATTTTGTCCTATTTGTTGTTTGCTTCACACAACAACAACAACAACAACAACATCTTCAAAGTTGTGGGCATGTTCTGTAAATTAAATGATGCAAATCCTCAAACAATCCATGTTAATTCCAGGTTGTGAGGCAAGAAAATACGAAAAATGCCAAGGGGGGTGTGACAGAACCATCTGTCTGCTGGATTTTTGCCCGTTCGTCTGTTTGTCCCCGTTCGTATGAATGGCTGGTTTCTATAGCCCAGCCATTCGAATGACTCTTTTTCCCGAACAAAACCGCCGAACGAACGGCCACCCAAGTGAGGAGTGTGCTGCAGGTTAACGAAGTGATCACCATTATAACGTTGTGGTTAACCGCAGACACTTCTCAATTAAACCGAACTCAGGGTGGTCGTCGTTCGTATGTCGACCACGAGGCAGCGGCCATTTTAAATCATGCGAACGCTCAGCGGTGTTTGGCTCTATTTCTATGGAACGGAAAACGGACACTTTTTCTGTCGAACACCGCTGAAACAAGGGAACGCCTGGCTGCCTCCACGAAAGCATGCGAACATCGGCCGTTCGGGAGATTGAGAACACACAAAAGACTTAACCCAGATAGCCCACCCATGGAGTCATTCGTGTACCGAAGGACTGTAAGAACTTTGACTCCATGGCGATTGAACTATGTGTGTGGGATCTGAGCGCTATTCGCCAATAATATGCACTCAGATCCAGGCTATCTGGGGACATGTAATACGAATGGGAAATGTTCAGTCTTCATGTAGTTATGCATTTTTGTGTCTTTTATTATTTCATGTTTAAGATGGCGACTGTCCTTGTCCTGGAGTTAATTGAGTTACTTGGTAATTAACTCCAGGACAGAGGGGAGGGAATCAGAATGTACTGTGGGTAAAATATATGACTGTGTGTCAGAAATGTCCTGCTATCTGGCTGTACTTTAAGTCTTCCATTTGGTCCCCTAGGGGAGTGTCCACCAGGTGGGAGACCTGCATAAATACGGGCAGGTAGCCCACAGTAAACCCAGATCTTATTTGACCCTCAATGCGGAGCTTCTGTCTCGTTATTGGGGGGATTTCTTCTTCACGTTTAGAGACTGCTGGATGGAACGAAAGCCGCTTTGGGGATATTATTGTTCGACGGTTCCTAGCAGTTCGTATATTGCCGTTCGGGAGTTTGGAGCCGTTCGTGGATTTCGATCGGGAGATTGCCGCTTCCCCTGCATTTGGTTCGTGGGTTACAGAGTAAGCGAACAGAGACTGTACTGCAGCCGGGGAAGGTTTACTAAACGGCGGTTTGGCTTAAAGACACGGGAGGTGTCTTAACAGGGGGTAAATACTTTTGCAAGACACTGTATGTAAAAATCATTTAGGGTTTATACACTAGAAAGCAAATGGTGAATTGAGACCCATATTTCAGTCTAAAATAGTAGATTTGGGAAAAATTGGCCTGCATTTCAGTTTTCAATGACGTAGCTACATAATTACAAAGCTGAAAAAGAGATTCTGGTTCCTTTAAATTCAGCCTTTGTTAAATCTGTTTTGCTTTTGATCCAAAAAAAGGCCAAAAAAACTGTTTGAAGCGCTTCAAATTTTGCAACAAACTAGGAAATAAATTCCTTCTTGGCCCCAGAAACGGGAGTTAGATGTCTCCTTGGATCACGAAGCTATTACCGCATTATAAATGATATCCCTATTCATTTCACCTTAGTGACAATGTGTTCAGTAACTCTTCCTGCTTGTAGACATTAAAGGACGGGAGAACATAGCAAAGCCCAGTGAGGTGGCAAGTCTACTCGCAAAGACCCAAAAGGTCAACCTTCAAAGAACAATTTTTTT